GTCCGTTACTTCGAACAAGACCCATGTCGGATTTCACTCATCAGCCCGCTGGCGGGGGGTCTCGCGGTCCGCACCGGGCCTCCCACTGGCCGCCTGCGGACCACCGGCCCCCGCCGCGTGCCGGGCCGACGAGGCACAGCGCCGAGCAGCCGGGGCCGGCCGATCTGTTCAGCTCCCGGCGAGCGGGAGTGTTCACAGCTGGAGCTGAGTGAAGCTGCCGCTCTCGGCTGGCGGCCACGCCGGGCACTAAGCCGGAGGCCAACGGAGAGTTCAGTTCAACGGAGAGCCCCATGGAGAGGTCCGCAGAGAGCCCCACGGAGAGCCCCACGGAGAGTCCACGAGGCACAGCGCCGAGCAGCCGGGGCCGGCCGATCTGTTCAGCTCCCGGTGAGCGGGAGTGTTCACAGCTGGAGCTGAGTGAAGCTGCCGCTCTCGGCTGGCGGCCACGCCGGGCACTAAGCTGGAGGCCAACGGAGAGTTCAGTCCAACGGAGAGCCCCATGGAGAGGTCCGCGGAGAGGCCCGCGGTGAGTCCCACGGAGAGTCCAGTTCGAGGGCAGCGTTACGGCACCGGGCACGGCATTATTATGGTGAGAGACAGCTGGGCGCAGAGTGACGTCACGGGGGGCAACTCCTTAGGTTACCGCAGCAGGGCCGCTTGTGCGACAGCTGGTCTTACGCGACAGCAACACTGCAGAAGTGCAGCGACAGCAACGCCGTCGAGCCCGGCTCCTTCCCAGCACCAGGAATCCCAGCAGCGCGCACAATGAGAAGGCTTGGGACCGGCCGGGGACCGGCTCCCTCCTAGCACCAGGTACTCCAGCAGCGCGCCCAGTGAGAGGGCTTGGGACCGGCCGGAGACCGACTCTTTCCCAGCACCAGGGACCCCAGCAGCGCGCCCGGTGAGAAGGCTTGGGACCGGCCGGGGACCGGCCCTCTCCCAGCACCAGGGACCCCAGTAGCGCGCCCGGTGAGAAGGCTCGGGACCGGCCGGGGACCGGGTCTCTCCCAGCACCAGGGACCCCAGCAGCGCGCCCGGTGAGAAGGCTCGGGACCGGCCGGGGACCGGGTCTCTCCCAGCACCAGGGACCCCAGTAGCGCGCCCGGTGAGAAGGCTTGGGACCGGCCGGGACGTGCTGTCCATGCCGCCGGCCGGGTCAAGTGCTGACGCCGGCCACGGGACCGGCCAGCAGGCACCGCCTGTCAGCCAGCGCCCGACCGAGCTGGCCCGTCACGGGAGCGGTGCAGGTGACAAGACACGCACGGTACGGCACGGCACGGGACGGCACGGCACGGCACGGCACAGCGTCGCTGGGCCTCATCGGCGACCGCAGCAGAGTGCCACTCGGGCCAGGGAATGCGAAAGCAGTGAGCCCATCACTGGGGGACTGAAGCCGACAGGTCAGACAGAAGGGTCGCGTCCGGAGACCCCCGACTCGCCGGGTGGCACGACTTGCGACCTTGACCTGCGCGCACTTCAAGGTCGCAGGCCGTGGCTCCGGGCTGACCAGGCTGACCAGGCTCAGGTCGTGAACTTAGCGACTGGTTGGGGCGCTGAGTACTGCCACTGCACTCCCGGCGGTAGACGCCTTGCGGCTCTGTGGCAGCAACGAAAATGGCATTTATTGCTCGGTCGCCGTCTGTGCATTTACAGCTGGTGCTACCCTACCTCGGCATTCAAAAGTTCATTTCACGGAAGTGCCGATGAATACGTTTTAGTGAGCACACCACCGCATATCTATTATTCATATAGCCCACGCTACGCTCCACCGCATTATGAATTGCGTGCCGCCATAACTGCGTTACCACATGCATGGCGGCGTTTCTGACACTCTGCAAATCGGGCGCCCTTTACCGGCGCGGTATTTAGAGGCCCGCCGCTGCAACAGCGACGCTCCCGGGCGACACCGCGTCGGTCCCTGACAGGTGACCATTGGTGTGACTCAGCCCGCGCGGGCAGCTGAACACCGACACTTGATTCGTGACGTCACCTGCCGCTGGTGAAGGACCGCGTCCGTCAACGCCGTCCCGCCAACCCACGCCAACCGTCAACGTCAACGCCGCTCCGTCAACCGACGCCAACTGTGAAGGCTTTGAGCCAGGCTGCCGCAGACAATGGGCTGCTGAGCCAAACGACAAACCACGCTGGCTTCAGATCAAAGTTCCTCATTACTTCACATATTTCGGAACCGACCGCCAATGGGATCGTCACGCGACTCGCCCCCCCCCCCCCTCCCCCCGTGCATTACGCGGTCGGAGAACGTAGTACCAAGCACGCGACCGAGCTCGCACTCACGGTAATAGCAACACGAGGTAAAGCCAAGCCGAAGCTACAACACCAGCCCTGTTTGGGTGACGATGGTCTGTGCGTCATCTGACGCTTCCGAAGGACTATTTTGCGTTTTATGGATGCCCAAGTGCGCTATGTACCGTTAAGTTATAATGCCCGGCTTATACGTGTATATATATATATATATATATATATATATATATATATATATATATATATATATAATAGATATCGTATGAAGTATGAAATGCGATATGTCATCCAAGCTCCTAAATTCGACAAATCTGCACACAACGTCATCAGCCCATTTTCTACCAACCGCACATCCTGTCAATATATCTTCTGGTCAGCATGTTGTATCCACGTAGCGGGGGGGGGGGAGGGCTCATAACATGTTCCGGGGGGGGGGGGGACATACATATTTACGACGCGTTTCTTATCACGTAACGCATAGGCCTAATGCTAGCTGTTTCTCCAGTCCCCGGGCCACGCACTACATATCTCCGAGGCGGCGGCCGCTGACCGCGTGTTTCAGCGATCTCTGGCGGCACCGGCCCAGAGCGCCCCCGATGCGCCGGCGCCCGTCTGCGGGGGTGCTGCTGGTCCCGGTCCCGGTCGCCGCACCGCCTCCGAGTTGTCGCACACTGCCGGCGGCGGCGGCGGCGGCGGAGCGGCCACGAGCGCCACTGTCGGAGCGGTAACGGCAACAACGCGCCGGCAGACAGGGCCGGGTGTCTGTTGGGCGCACGGCCGACGGACAGGGCGGAAGGCGGGGCTATTACGTGGCGACGTTCGCAAGACATCACAACAGTGGGATGCATCACGCCACGCGCAACAAGCGAAATGGTAGGACGCGAGAGAGCTGCCAACAGTCACCACGCGGAAGGCACCCATCTGTGCGCCAGCAGATACGGTCTGAGGCTCGGGGGCGACATCCAGGGCCGGTCTCAGCGCCGGCCCTGGCCTGCCAGCGGGGCGCACAGGACCTCGGCGGCTGCCGAACGCCAGGACAGGTTCGACCGCACCGAACCGGTTACACCGCCCCCTCCCTCTCACAAACTGGCCTAGCACACAGGCTGGTGACATAGCCTGGAATAGTACGGCCAACCACGTGCTGAAGAATTGAGCACCGCGTCATAAATTCATCATTCTTCTTCACCAAAGCCACCTGCCGTCGGGTCCGGGACGAACAACGTCAAGAATCAGGAGTTCCCACGGGTAGTAAGCATTGCAATTGTGTATGAGCCCTTCTAACGACAGCAATGACCCAGGCAGTAAAAGCCTGCGTCGATATTTATGAGACGGGCTGTACGGTCGCCGTGGAAGCGATGACCGGATCCGCGCACAACTGTCACGTAACGCCGCAGGTCCGCCCCGGCGGTCGCGGAGAGCGGCGACCGTGGGGGGGAGGGGGGGGGGGGGGGGGGGCTGGGGCGGGCCGTCGCCCAGGAAGACGTGAACAGCCGGTTCAGAACTGGACGCAAACCTTAGGGCAAAAGATAGCAGCCACGGGAAATAAGATGGACATATGCAGAGAACAATCGCCCTTCAACGCGGGTAGCGTTGACCGCACCAACACAGCAAAAAACCACAAACCGGGCAGAGCAGAAATCACGTGCCAGCCCATTGGTCATGAGCTGGCACGTTCGCCGCTGGCGTTCAATCAAGGCCGTTGCAATCACTTACCATCCACCCGTGCTTCGGCCAGAGGACATCTGACGCCCCCGCGCGGGGAACAGGACCCCACTCACAGGGCCCGGCGGTGGCAAGAGCACATCTGACGCCCCCGCGCGGGGAACAGGACCACACCCACAGGACCCGGCGGTGGCAAGAGCACATCTGACGCCCCGCGCGGGGAACAGGACCGCACTCACAGGACCCGGCGTTGGCCAGAGGACATCTGACGCCCCCGCGCGGGGAACAGGGCCGCACTCACAGGACCCGGCGGTGGCAAGAGCACATCTGACGCCCCGCGCGGGGGACAGGACCACACTCACAGGACCCGGCGAATGCCCGCTGGCAATCCCGACGGCCAAGCCGGGAGGTCAGCAGAAGACCGCGTGCGAACGGAATGCTTATACCGCGACAGCTCTCCAGGGCGCGCACAGAACAAGGCATCAGTGTGGGATGGAGAACGGCAGGCGACGTGATGAGTTAAGGCGCAGAAGCGATAGCCAAGGCGGAAGAGGCAACGCACAGCCATCACTTTTGTAGAACAAAACGGCCCTTAGTTTTGGGTCCAAACCACTCACAGACTCATAGCGAATAACGGAGAAATATGAGCTAAAATAAATGAAAACGAAGCTTGATAGACCTAGCCGCCCGAAATAATGCAGAATCGCTCATTTGGGACGCGAAACGCACCGTCGTCACTAAATATACATTCCCACAAGCGTAGGCACGCAAAATGGAGACCTTAAGACGACATGTCGTGGCAATGGAAGGGACTCAATCCGACCTGAACGAGCACCCTCAATGGAGTGGACACAGAAGCACTTCAACGGTGAATTTATAGAGGAATTCCCATTTGAGCATACTTTGCAAACCGATCCAGTGATTCCATGTCCCGGTGTTTCCATCCAGCGGTCTTCCGGCCCAGCGGGGGGATATTCGCTTGCCCCTGCGCCTTCCGCTGTCCGCACTGAGCCTCCCCACATTATCAGTCATTCCTCACTGGCCGTGCTCCAGTCACGTTTGGCAGGGCTCCTCACCTCCACTTTGGTCGCCATGGCTTCGGTCGCTGCTGTCGGATAGCGGGTCACCGCGTGCGTACGGGCACGGCGCCGCTCTCACGGGTGCACACCGCACTAAGGCACGGGGGACGGGAGCGGGGCGGGGGGGGGGGGGGGGTCGTCCCCCGGGAATCACCGGCGTCGCGCGACGCTCGTGGCTGAAGCGCTGCTGCACCGGCAACGTCTGGCGCAGCTCATCTGCAGCGCTGCAGGCCGGTGGTGCTGGCGCACGGGGTCGCTCGGCGCGGTCACACAGCCACCGCAACGCGAGGACACAGCTCGCTGTGCACCGGCTCGCCTCTCTGCCGGACTCGCACCACCCACACGTTCAGCGGCGGGCGGCCGGCCCAGGACTGGCCGCCAGCCACGCCGAACGGCTCTCCGGGCCGGAGGTGCCCGGGCCAAACAGCGCACGCGTCGTGACGTCACGGCGGCCCCCGTCATGCCGCGAAACTACGCGCCCACTACGACCCGATCGGATGGTGCAGGTCGAGGGCGTCGACGTTTATTGGAAGCGTAGTGAGAAGTCGAATCGACGCATCACTCCGAGGCTAAGTCTTTGGTTAACTGCCCAGCCATTTGTAAGTGGGACTGACGCTGGGTACGAGGTGGGTGATAACCAGCCACGTAGCGAGGGTTTGAATTTAGAGCACCAATTTAGCATCCAGATGCTACTTCGATACACCATAGACTCGTTTTAAATGTTTTAGAAGGTCTATGGGGAGTGGTGTAGTTTCCTATTCGGTTGGGGGCTCCGCCAACTTTGAGAAGAAAATGGGCCAAAGCCGTGGCTAAACCCGCTTGTTGGTGTATTTTGGGGCTAGCTTCCGTTCTTCTTTACAGCTTACCCCCCCCCCCCCGCATTGGTCATTTGAAAAACTACGCCCCGACCTGTGGGCGATTTTTAAACGCCATAAATAATAAAGTCCTTGACGCCAGGGAGCCCAGTCATCTTCACAGGAGATGCTCTCAAAAGCTCCCTCATGGCCCCGCCACTGCAAATAACGTAAAAAGCATGGTTAATAAATAACGCCCGATCGCGCATGATTTTGAATGGGCAATTTGGGTAAGAGGAAACGTAGCGTAATAGGCAACGCCACGCTTAGTCCTAGTTTCTATACACCAACGACTAGCTGAATAGAGATTTCAACGTAATCGGACACACCTGTATCGGTCATCGAATCATGGTATATGACACCAGTCAGTCACCCAGGCTGGTTGGTCGCTGGCATTAGAAACTAAACAAGTTGAGAAGGGGGGGGGGGAGGGGGAGGCGAACTATCTCTGGTGAAATGAAACGCCGCCGCTAGCATATTTCTAGCCTTCTCCATGTGTTCACATCCCTCGAGCGCCCTGCCCTCCTCGTGTTGTACCTGCTCCCCTCCGGAACATTAAACACAGAATTTGCGTTTGGTACCCCACTTGCCTCAAGCGGAGCTTGTTCTTCATCGATACGCGCTTTTCTCTTCGGTAATGTATTGGCGCGCGGCGGAAATATCGCTCCCAAGGCGCCGTAATGGCAGCCATCGTACGCGGAATCCAGCGCACAGGTGTGAACAGGTGTGAACCTCGTGCGGCGCGGCTTGGTGTGGGCGTGTCGGGGCCAACGCGGCGAGAGGCACCCGCCGCCGGCGTTACCAAACAAGGACCTCGGACGTGGCCGTGCTATCTCGACGGATTCATAATGAAGGTTGGGGAGCGTAATTCGGCGATGCGCAAGCCTGGCGGTTTGAATGATGCGCTTTTGTCCGCCCGCGAGTCCGACATTTCGCGACTGAAATGTCCACACGTCAGCTAACTTAAACTTAACTTGTAACTTAAAGGCCCTGTATAACGGACACTCGTGCGCATCTTCGCCCGTGCCTAAATCTTACATTACGTAACCTTAACACGCTGAGGAAGCTCCTAGTATGCCGGGCGGAGCACCGACGTCGCACTTTCGCGTGCGGCACCGAAGCCCGCCATCTGCCAAACTTTGGGCCGAAGTCGTCCGGCGCCCGAGGCGACGACATTCCTGAGCCGGGGGAGGCCCCAGCGCCTGTGCCAGCTGGCGACCGGGCTGGCTTAGCCCCTCCCCCCCCCCTTCCCTCCTCAACCTGCCAGGCCAGTCCACCCAAACCGCGCCACCCGCCGCCGTAGCGAAGCATGTACCGTTGGCCAAGCATAGGTTTAGGTCTCTGAAAGTGAGAGACGTGGACCAATAACTATTGATACCATAGTCACATAATTTTCCGGGCCCGGTGAACATGATAGGAAACAGGCTTCATTATATATTCTCTCGCTGCTTTGTGCCGAAACTTTCAGCTCCTCATCACCAAACGTTCCTGGATGGATGCCCAATTACTATTGAACGGTAACCCAATACCCACTTTTGGCATGGGAAAATAATAAATGGTGTTTTGAAAGGCGTCGGTATGCAAACGGCAGATTCATTTTCCACATCGATGCATGATGATAATTGGGTATTTGGGGCGCGCCGACATCCACGGTCATTTGGCAACCGTAACGACCCGAAGACTGAAGTGTTCACTATCTAGCTCAGTTGGTACGTAGCTGAAAATCTCTAGCCCTCAGGAGTGGAAAAGTTTGTCTGTGTCAAATAAAGGAGAGTCATTTTCTTGAGCATCAAATTGAAGCGCTGAAGCACGCCGTCCACGCAGCACAGGTGTTCGGCACTGAAATGCAAACACGATCGAATCTCATGGTGCACAGTTAGCGGAGCACCACGGTGAGGACACCGTGGTATCTCTTCGCCACAAAGTATGTTCTAGCGACTCGCATGGGCGTGGCCAAAGCATAGCTCGCTAAGCATGATTTCTTTTCGTCGAGACCGGCGGGAGCAGGGTCACCTGGGCTCCTGCTGGGCGTTATGGCATGAAGCTTGCTATTGGCCATCGTATCTAGCTATGTTGCCAGTTTTTTATGTACGTCCTGGTGGCTGCGTATAAGTTCCGCACAGGATGCGAAACCGCACGTTCACACGCTGCGGCGCTGCTCGTTTTGGTACCGCATCACCCAGCTAGTTTGCCTTAATGCTGAAATGGGTAGGGGCCTAACAAATGTAATTTTCTTGTCCGTCTGTCAAGTGTTGACAAACGCAACCAAATATCTTGCACAAAGGGACATTGCGGGTTAAACATCTTTACAACCAAAATGCTGCGGTCAAAATAATATATTGAGCTTAAGTGACAAAATAACAAAACGTAATCTTAATAAAATAAAACCTTAACAAAATATAATGCTTTAGTGGTGGCTTTTGATTCATACGTGAGAACTGGCCCATTTGAAGGCAGCTCGGATGGCCTAATGGCGGAGTCGCTTGCACATGCACACCCCACTGTCTCATTTGTCTCCGAGCCATCTGTACACGCGAACAGGTGTCATTACACGTCACATGCCCCAGAGCCCAGGACCAGCTTATTCTGGGCATCGCCACCTTTGTTAATCCGATATAGCGAAGAGGAAAATAATGGATCTAATTATTGTCCTGCCTTTCAGAAAATATGCGCTTCAACTTCCGTCTGCATAAAATTGTTTACCTAGCTCCCAACACCCCGCCACTCAAGCGCAAATTGAATTTTGGAACGTCTTACCATACAAAACAGCGTTTTCTGCAGCGAGAAAATGCGCAGCCGGCATTGTAGTTCGCTCGACAGCAGTTGCATATTAAGCCCTAGTCACCAGAACCGGGCGACAGCCTGATGAGCAGGGCTGTAGGCTTAGCACGGCTGCAAGACCAGCTGGTGCTATGCACCAGCAGGCCGGATCGTGCGGCGTGGGGCGAGCCCGGCAATCACAGGTCTGTGTGGAGATCAGATGATGATCATGTGGTCCGAGTTGTCGGTGGTTGGCACGAACGTGCTGCCAAAAACTTAACTGGAAGCATATGCCTGCGACTAACGGTGCCAATGGCTTTCGTCAAAGCATTGGAAGGATCTTTCAGGATAATTTAACAGGCAAAAATATGTAGCAATACCGCAAAAATTTATAACCTTGCTTGTGCATTGGCTGGCTACACGTCCAGCCATTCCTGGCCATCTACGCATGCTTGTCGATCGGCGAAATCGACGAATTTGTAAGGAGCGACACTGAGGAATTGTGGCCAAGGTATTGCGAGAAGCGCAACTATTCTTGAATGGATATTGGTGGCAATGAACAGGATCACACACCGGTGATGTCTTTAGGACCAAGTCTCCTTCGATTTAGAGATTTAAAGTACAGTGCCTTGTATCTGAGATGGGTTTCGAAGCAGGTGGCATCGGCCACTTTAGGTCAGTTACTGGCACATCAACTAGTCGGGCAGTCTGAGGCACGTCAGTTGTTCGCGCCCGGCACGTTTGCCGACGCTGTGCGGCTGGTTTTACGTGTTCGTCTACTCTGGCTGTTCAGGCACAGCATTAATCCCAAAAGAAAGTTACAAGCCGGGCAGATCCACGGTGCGCGCACAATAGCACGTGCTTGTTCTGCGCACGCTGATCCACACTTTGGCAACACAAATGTCAGTTTTCTCCTCCGTGAGCACATACATAGTTTCTTATTGCTACGAAGGCGGATCGTCGACATTTGAGTCCGATTTTGAACTGTTCTTCATTTTTCCCAATTTGACAATTTTATACTTTCCAAGCTAAATGAATGGGGAGGTCGAATGGTAGAAGCATTGCCATGCTCAAGGAAACATCCATCCGATAAGTTTACAAGCAAATATATAACTATCTACACAGTTCAATTTATAACACATCACACCTCTTGCTGTGGACAACTGCCTCAACCTCCGATCAACAGTCGCAAAGATATCCGCTTCTTGAAATCGCACCGACCAGGCCCGGTCGGACCAATCACGACGAACATCAGCTTCACCCCCAATCATTTGCGCCACTTCACAATAACCCCCTGCCGCGAACACGAGCCCCACTGCGCCCAATCCCCTCTCGGAGGGGGATTTAACTCTCACACCGACGTGAACGCGGACGAATGGTGTTTTTATTCCTCCATCAGCGGGGCGGCGGGCGAGAAAACGATGTGGCAGCCGACACGCGCGCACTGGGAGAGCCATCAGGTGGCGCCAGCGCGCGCGGCGCGGGGATACTCATATCACGCGCCACGAGATTTGCGCGGAGGGCCAATTTCCGCCCGGTCTGCACGCGCTCGCGCCACTCGTGGCGGCCGCACCTCTCATGATGGAGGATGTTGTTTCAGGATAACGGGCGATTGCCCGGGACGGCTCAGGACTGGGGCAACACCCGAGGTTGGCTCTATCTGCCGCCGATACCGGCGGCGGCGTCGGTCGGCCCGCAGCGCTGGCGTCGATACACACGGCACGGGACGTGATAGACCGCGGTGG